TGCAAGCCGTGTGAATGTCCAATTCAAGAGAAGAACTCGGCAGCAGTCAGAACACATCTGGAATGCTGTGTTAATTTCTGGACACCCACATATTAACAAGAACTTTGCTAGTCTAGAAAGATTTCAGAAGATGATGGCTCACACGGTAAAAGTTCCTGAAATTGTGCCATGGAAAGAATGATTGAGGGAACTGGAAGTGTTTTTCCTGAAAAAGAGCATATTTAGCCAGAATCTGATGTGGAAGCAAAAGAAAACTATTCAGCGTAGCCCCAAAGGAAGAGCCAGGATAAGAAGTAGCACTCAAGAGGAGGCAAATTAGGCTCAGGATCAGAAACCTCCCTGTAAGGATCCAAACTACCCATGAACAGAATGGGCTGTCTTGCAAGACAGTAAATCATCACTATTAATTTTCAGAGATTGGGTGAATGGGCTGTCTTGTAAGACAGTAAATCATCACTATTAATTTTCAGAGATTGGGTATGAAAAAAAGGATGAGGTTGAAATAGTTGATATATTAGGATATTTCCCATTCTGATCTATGAGTATAAGAGTCATCTATAACTGATTTGCCTTGTAATCTACCATGAACACTACCGTCTTCAGACTAATCTTACTACCCAACTTTTATTTGCATTTTGCTTTCTTCAAAGTAACGCTGGTGATGCAGTACGTTAAGTGTTGGAAAGGTCGGTTGTTGGAAACCCTCAGCCACTCCATTGGGGGAAAAATTAACAGAAAGATTTAACAATTTCGGAAATCCTATGGAGCAGTTCTATTTTGCCTATAGGGTCACACACACTTTATATCTGGCTATATATACACCTCTGAATTACTGCAGGGATTCTAAACCTCATTCCTTTTTATGCCTCCTACTACCTGAACTCCTTCCTCATGGCAATCTATTCCTGGCTCTTCTCTAAATAAAACATTATCCTCAACTTACAGCTCCCAGTCATACCAAACTCATGCCTTTGTATGCACTTTGTATACTTCATGAAATTCTTCCAATCCTTTCCTTCACAAAGCTAAACATTACTCTTGAAGGCAAAGTTCGGATCCATATTTTACATGACATTTTCTTTCACTCTTGCAACCCACTGTGTCTCCTGTTTCTCTGAACTTGTAAACAAAAACTACCATATTTTTAGTGTCCAATATGCATATAGCATTTTCCAAAAGATGTGCTCCAAAATAAAGTTGCTTGTCTGAGTCAATCCAACTACTTGGTTGCAGAATGAGGAAGAGAACTTGAACCTTTCTGATTTGGGTCTGGGTGCTTGTACATATTATTTTAGAGCTGTTCATTTTGGCTTCTCAGATAGATGCTAATCACATTATAAATAAGAACTGATTTATTTAAAAAATTTTTCTCATATTTCCAAAGATTTTTATACCTTGCTATGCATGGGGGCGCCACTCGGCAAGAAATTGTTTTTATTCTTTTTCATTGGGAGTTAATACATATATCATATAACCGCTAGTTCAATCACGTCAAGCAGAATTGTGCAATTGCTACCACAATCAGTTTCTGAACATTCTTTTTCTTCCTGGGATCTCTGACATCATCTCTCTTTTACCACCACCACCACTGTACCCCCTGCCTCCCCCAAACCCTTATTCTATTTGCTGTCTCTATAGGTTCATCAGTCCTGAGTTTCATACACAGAAACACAGAAAAACATATCACAAATTCAAGAGGGTGACCTCCAATGACACAATGCCTCTGAGATACACCCCCCATATGAAGGAACAAACATAAAACAAATTGATTGAATCTACTTGGAAATTTTGATCAAACAAACCTTTTTGCCAGGTATAGTTCTATAACTGGGATGCTACAATGAACAAAACACATAAAAATATATACCACTGTAGAGCTTATATTCGAATGGATAGTACATAAACTTTTTTTTAAATCGTTTTATTAGGGGCTCATACAACTCTTATCACAATCCATACATACATCAATTGTGTAAAGCACATTTGTACA